TTAAAAAAAAAAAAAAGTCTTGAGAAAAAATAAATATAAGACAGTGTCTTATTTTCAGGAGAAACACGGTACTTTACATACACCTTCAAGAAATCCTCTGAGAAAAGGGCAAGTGGCTGAAACCTGAATGGCAGCACAGAAGGACCTCTAGCAGCAAAGGCCAGGAGATGGGACTATCCTGTGACTTCTAGGAGGTGGACGAGGCAGCTCATGGAACACTAGACAGAAGTGGGAGTGGGTTGTGAGGATGAGGGGATTTACCCCCAACTAAAACTCCACAGACTCAATGCGTAACTGTCAATACCCTGACTGTGCCTAACTTGGGCCCTACCACACTAACCCTGGAACAAGAAAACACACAAGGCCTGGAGATAGAAAAGGCCAAAACCCTTCAGAATTACTGTCTCCATAAATAATCCCACTAGGGCTGGAATACTGTAATGAAGGGTTTGCTGGAAGGAAGGCTGAAATGGTAACTGAGGGTTTTTTTTTTAAACTCTAGACCCTGTTACCATGGTAGTTAAGAATTGATATTTCTGTGCTGAGAAGTTTACATAAAAGTCAGATGCTTGCAGAGGAGCTAAACTTCTCAAATAGGGAATCGGCACCTAAAAATACAGCTCAGGGCTCGTGTCACAGCCCACCGGAAGTGAGAGGGACCATCCAGTCCTGAGTTGGCGTGCCAGTCCTGAGCACCATTCCCTCGTCTTCCCTGAGACCATGGCAGAGATTGAGGACCGATCTCAATGGAGGATCGAAGTGTGAGGGGGAAGACTTCAGAGGCCAAAAGTCCTAGTAAGTCACTCCAAGCATTTTCTTTCCTGTTCGAAACCTTTTCAACTCTTCACTAATTTAGATCTTGATACCAGGGAGGGACACACTGGCTTAGCAATGCACTTTATCGCCCATTCAGCCCCCATATTTGGCATCAACTCCAAAACTTAAGAAGGAGCCTCAGACCCCTCAAGCAGAGTTTTTAGACTTGGCCTCCATAGTCTTTTAATAACTGAGATGGAGAGAGGTTACAGGACAAAGAGAAAACAGGGCTGCCAGCAGCCCGGAAAGCAGAAAGAGTTTTTTTAATAGTGGCTGCTGCATTAAACCCTTTCCAGAGATAGTTACTGGAAAGCATTCTACCAAGGGCGACATAGTAAGACTCTGTCTAAAAAAAAAAAAAAAAAAGAAAGAAATTGGATTCCTTTTACTATTACAAAAACTATTGAGGATGGATTAAAGACTTAAATTTCAGACTTCAAACCATAAAAATTCTAGAAGAAAATGTAGGAAAAACTCTTCTGGGCATTGGCCTAGGCACAGAATTCATGACTAAGACCCCAAAGCAAGTACAACAGCAACAAAAATAAATAAATGGGATTTAAACTACAAAGTGTCTGACAGAAAAGGAAAGAAGAAATAGAATTTGTTACTTATAATAATATATATTGTTATTACACGAACAGATTTATCAAAAGAAGATATACAGGGCTTGGCGCCTATAGCTCAACCAGCTAAGGCGCCAGCCACGTACACCTAAGGTGGCGGGTTCGAATCCCCAGCCCGGGTCCTCCAAACAACAATGACGGCTGCAACCAAAAAATAGCCGGACGTTGTGGCGGGCGCCTGTGGTCCCAGCTACTTGGGAGG